TGTGCCAAGTCAAAATAGATCATTCTTTGATAAACGGAGGGAGTAGTTTTTTTCAATTTCTTTGTTAAGATATTTGCCATTCATGCTTATGACTATTAGTCTTGGACTTAAAACTTATATATTTGTATTTTTTCTCCCGTTACACCTTTTCAATTAAAACGCACTTTATTTGCGCTTTGCACTTAAAGCCAACGAGCGTTAGGGTTTTATTGCGCTTTTTGCTTTTGATAACACTGGCTGAGTTTTAAGGTATGATTCTTTAGAAATATTGTATATCTTAATCAAGGTAAAAGTGAGGAGATCTTCCACTCCAGTAACTCATGATAGGTATGATTCAGATTATGTTACCATTTCCAGACAATGGAAGGAATCATTTTTTCATTTTGCTCTTTGGTTCTCTTCTTATTTCCTAGATACATAAAACTTTGGGAAAAGGTTCCCTTGATAATTGTGTTTGGCTTTCCTGCAGGGTAAAAAGCAAGCATTGCGGATGGAGTCAATTGCAGCATTAGAGAATGCTATAAGGAATGTTCTAGCAATTCTGGGGCTTGTGCCAGCCAGTTACGCAGAGGTGCAAATCTTTTTTTGCGTCTGGTTTCAAGCATTGCATTTTGTATATGCTGTTACTTTGTCCAGAGAAATTGATGGTCCTAGTGGTGCCTATAGTGCGTACTATTTTCAGATGATGTTTTGTTGAGTAATAAAATTAATGAAAGAGTCAACTAGAAGTTGAAATTGTGATCAGAGTAAAGTAAGAAGGCAATATGAATAGTGAGATAACACCCCACAAAAGAATTGAAGATCAAGTAAAATTAGTCTGGATTGTGGGTCTGACTGTGCACAATCTAGACATCTAAGATTCTAGGCCAAGCAGCACATGAGAATTGTATTCAAAATGAATATCTAGCACAAATCTAAAATAGATGAAGTAGAGGAGCTCTATGAAGGGCTATGTGATATGGTCTGATGGAGGAGTACCGAACAAGGTGAAGGCAACTTCTATAGAATGGCTGTGAGATCAACAATATTATATGGGAGGTGGAGGTGGGTGGGTGGGTGAGGGGGTATGATGGTGCGGTATATGAATTGAGGGGGGTAGGTGAGTTATTTATATTTTATAATAGATAATGTTTGTTGATCCATATTTGACCCACTTTTAAATGATTGGATACCCAACCCAGTTAAAATGGGCCGAGTCGAGCGGATAACCACAAATTTTATCCATTTTGCCATCCCAATTCAAGGTAATGGAGAGACTGATGATATTTTCACAGACTGTATTGATGCAGAATGGGAAAATGGAGGCTTGTCTTTGGGGTCTTATGTGATAAAATTGTATTGGTTGATGTTTAAATGTAGGTTCTACATAGTGGTGGTTGCAAATCTCACGTTCAGAAGTTGGAAGTTGCAGTGAGAATGTGGACATACTAGGAGAGATAACATTAGAAATGAGGATATCTAGGTCAAGGTAGGAGTGGCTTCGGTAGAAGTCAAGATGCGGAAAGCGAGAATATGAACATTCGGGCATTTGAAGAGCAAATGTTTGGATGCCCCAGTTCAGAGGTTGTGAGACGCTGGCTATGGAAGGATTAAGGAGAGGTAGAGGTAGACCGAAAAGTATTGGGGAGAGGTGATTAGATAGGACATGCCACAGTTTAGCTTACCAAGGACATGGCCTTAGATGAGAGGCTGAGGAGGACACAAATTAGGGTAGAGGGCTTGTAGGTAGCAGCACGTGTCTTGTTTTCCGTCCATACTAGTAGTTGTAGTATTGTTCCTGGAGTTTGTGGTCCTTGGTTCTTTGTTATTATCTGTTGTCTTGTCCTTTGACTTTCATATTATGTTGTGTTAGTATTTTCCAGTTACTATCTATTATTTCTTGTACTTTTGTTACTTCATTTTTTGAGCCGGAGGTCTACCGAAAACAACATGTCTCTCCTTGTGTGATTACATTGGGTATGTTGTTGTATACACTGAAGTGTCTGTAACAGGTCCTTAATTTCATGTTTGAAGCAACACTTTTTTCACCTTGAGGAGTTGTTGCGAACTTGTTCAAATATCAGGTGGCTTCCAGCTCTGCTGCTAGAATTTATGCATTTAGTCCGTCACAAAGATATGAACTTTATGTCATTTTCTAGATTGCATCAACATTCCCTGCATCAAAACAATTAGAAAAAAGAAAAACATTTTCCTGCATCCTATCCTTGTACGTGTGCCTCGTGCCAATCAAGCGTTTCATCCTTTTGTAGCTTCTGGATGATAATCATAGCACGAAATCTCACAGTTTAGCAATGCTTTTGGTCTATTTAGGCTTTAAATGAATTGAGGGAGAAAGCTTTGAAGCGTGCAAAGTTGACTGACGATCAAGTTCAGCAAAAAATCGTGGAGAGGGATACAGCACGTAAAAATAAAGATTATGATAGATCGGATGTAATTCGAAAAGATTTGGCTGCTGTAGGTATTGCCTTGATGGATAGCCCTGAAGGCACTACATGGAGACCAGCTTTTCCTCTTGCATTGGAAGAAGAGCAGGTTACAGCTCCTTGAAATTTGTCACATATTTGCAATAACCTGCCATGTTGTGCATATCAATTTTGCAAAATGATGTATGTTTAGTCCCATTCTTAAGTAAGAAAAGGTTTGGTTGTAACATCATAGAGAAGCAAAGTAAATTTTGTAGAGTTGCAATGCAAAACAGGAAGGCCTTTATTTGTATGCAACAGACATCTCTTTCTCATTGATACTTAAACTATAGATATATGAGATGTATCAAAATGATCGTGTTCTTAAACATGCCATGATAAACAAGTTGAAACGGAGTGAGTTTTTAGTATAGTGTAAACAGGTACTTCCCTCTGTCACATATTATGTTATAGGTACCCCAAAATATAACACTAAAGATTTTGAAACATTAGTCTAAAAGAAATTGTGTGACTATAGTGTATAAGTGATCTCATTAAACTTAAAAATGGAAAAAGCTGAAGATAAATTTGTTTGTAAATATAGAAAAATCTGGCCATCTTTTCCTTATTAGTCCCTTTTTTTGTATTGGAAATAATTTGACTCTAAACCCTTTGTAAATGTTTCTCAAATCTGTTGAACTATGTCAAATAAATTGGAGTGTCATTTTCTCGGACAAATTAAAAAAGAAAAGTGTATTACATAAATTGAGTTTCGTGAAGGTTGCTAAGTCATTCTTTTGTATGATACGAAGAAATTAGATTTTCCTGCGTATTATCTATGTTGTTTTTACTTATATGATACAAACAGTAATAATTTTTTTTTTTTGAAAAGGAAAAGACTCAAATATGTCATTGAACTTTTAGAAAAGATTTATTTATGTCATCCTTTAAAAGTTTGGTTCACTTATGCCATTGTTGTTAAATAAAAGGCTTATTCATGCTATTTTTTTAACTTAGATTTTTCAAAATTCATTTTTTACTCACCAAACAAGGTTTGACACTTTTTTTTTGGTGTTTCTGGATCAAATGTATACTTTTTGCTTGTTTGTTTTTAAAAAACACAAAGAACACATAAAGAATTTAAACATTTCTTTTCAACACGTCAATTCTTTACGAAATTATCTCAAATTTCGGCTACATCATTAATTTCTTCTTTAAAAAAAAGCTAAAATTCTAACATCGTTCATAAAATTCACCCATATTTAAAAAAATTTATTCCAAAAAATGAAAATCAATCTCAAAATTTCAAAATTTTCTTTGATTCTTATTTTTGTAGTTCTTTTACATTAGATCTTTGTTGATTAGTGTTTTTGAGTTTAAGTTCAAAATTTCAAATGATTTGAAGTTGTGGAGAATCTACCATTAAAGCATGTTGAAGTTTTGAAACTTTGAAGAAATCTTAATTGGGTCTTGTTGAGTTAGGTTGAATTCGAGCTCAAAAGAAATTGAGTTTTGGTATCTAACTTGGAGCGAAACTGCCCTTGAAATTTGAGGCGATTCTTGAAAAAATTGAGTTTTGATATCCTTGAAGTGTTGTTGCGATACTAACCTCCCTGACTTCAGGGAGGTAATAGATCCTCATGAAAGTTTAGTATCGCAACAATAAATTCGATCAAAATTGAGCTATTTTTCAAACGCTTATCCCTTTGTTTTTACTTGTTGCTATTATCTTTTATTTTATTATTTTCTAAGTCGAAGATTTATTAAAAATAATCTCCCTGTCTTTTTAAGATAGAACAAAAATCTTAGTATATTATGTTTTCTATAAGTTCCACATGTAAGATTTACATTTGAATTGTTGTTGTACCTCAACCACTTTTAATTATTTCGATGTACAACTTTAAAAAATTGATTAAAATATAAATAAATAAACTAGTCATTAAATTTTTTTAAACACTCAAATTATATTTATTTTAGATGAACACTTAACTCCATGATTAAGTGTCCATATTATATTCTCTTATTTCAATTTTTAATTATATTTTTTCATGCGTTCCTAAGGATCTATTAGGTAGTTAACTCTATAAAACATCTTATATAACTATAATACATCGATATCAATTAAAATAACTAATATTTTACAACATATTAAGATTAATGCTTATAAATAAAGAATGTGACATTTAAGTTAATTTTATCACGAACACTTGAAAATACGTTTTACTTTTTTCTTTTTAAAAGTTGAATCGAAAGTACTCTCTCATTTTCAATTTGTTAATCCGTTTAAAAACTCTTTACTTCTAACATCTGACCTGACATGTTAAACACGACGATATTTTAATACATTCTGCCTGTCTTTAATTTAAAATCACAAAAATATAAAACGTACTTCACTTTTAGAAACTCCATATCAAATCAAAACATGGAAAATAACTAAGACGAAAAAAAATATTCGTATCTAGTAAGAATGATTTATCACGTGTTCAAACGCTCAATCACGGAAAAGTGAAGGCCATTTCCTTTTTGTTTGTTTATAGGGTTAAAATAAAAAAAAATAGCATGCGGGTCCCTTATTAATCTCTCATTCGCTTTCACATTCTGAAAATCACCTCCATAATCTGACATCCATGGCTACAACATATACTATAATAATAATAATAATAATAATTTTTTTCTCTTTTTCCTATCCAACTTTTTAATGCTTACCCTTCACTCTTTACCCCACTACCCCAACCCACAACTTGCCTCTTTCACGCACACACACACACACAGAAGAAAAGTAGTAAACAATGTTGTTCTTGTTTTGAGATTTTCTTGATCTCATAAAGGTGGAGTCTTTTTACCTGCATTGTTGTATTTTGGGTTAGTTTGTGAGTTTTTACTAAGTGGGGTTTGGTTATTTTGTTTGATTTGTATGAATGAGAAAGGAATAGGGCAGTGGAAATTTTTTTCTTCAGCTATGGAGTCTGCATTATCAGGTATTAAGGGTTTATTTTGTTTTTTTTTTAATTTTTTTATGGGGTTGTTGTATTTACTGTGTAGAGCTGATGAGTGATGATGGGTGATGGGCATGTCTAATGTTTTATTGGTGGTGGGTTTTGTCTCTTTCCTTTGGGTGTTTTTTTTTTTATAAAAAAATAAAAAGTTGGACTTGGTATACTCTTGTTAGTTTTGTTTATTATATGATTTAGTTTCTTAAAGTTTTGTACTTGACAATGTAAGTTGAGTTTAGACTATATTTGTGTCAGCTTTGATTTCTCTACTTGTTTTATAAGCAGCTAGGAAAGATGGAATCCTATCTCTGTTTTAAGTAACAACAACATCAACATATCCGTTACACAAGTGAGGTTTGGAGAGGGTAAAGCGTACACATACCTTCTCTGTGTGTTTTATGCTTAAAGTGCAGTCATTATTCTTATTTCTGATGCAATAGAAGCTTGAGCATACACAGGCTGACTATAGACTATAGAGTATGCAAGTGATATAAGGATGTGGCAGTTTCGATATGGTGGAGAACTGGCAGCAACCACATATAGAAGGATGCAATATTATGTCGATAAGCTAATGGTTTTGTTGGTTCTTTTAGCACGTTATACAACAAATCAAATTAGAAAAAGAAAGAATGAATCTAATGAGGTGTTGATTTGATCACATTAACAACATTTCATCCTTGGTGAAAGGAGTAGAGAACTAGAGAGAACCCAATTAACTTGATCACCTATGAGCGATAAAGATTATCAAATAGGGAAAATTTCTCTTGAATGGTGTTAGCTAGGGTACATTAGCTATTGGACTTGTGGACATAGGATATCACACAGCTAACTTTTGTCTTAAGAGCTTTTTTTTTTCAATAACAACTTCTGGCTTGGCATTGTGGAACTGGGGAGTTTGGTAGTTTCTTCCTTTAAATTGTTAATATCATAATTGTATTATGTAATCACGTGGAGAGAGGGGTAATGGTGCAGCTTGCTAGCACATAGGTATCACAGCTTCTGAGTTATTTTTAATTGACGAGTTTGACCTATCTCGCTTCAATCAACAGTTTGGCGTTGAGGTGTAGTTGATTGATTTATACACTTGTAAAGATACAACTAGCTAACTCATAAATATAAATCTTCATAAGTTGTGAATTGTGATTGGAACAATTTTCACCGTGACATCTGTTAATTTGACCTGATAAATTTTGAGTGGCTTTGACTACCAAAATCTTTATAGAAGTCACCCCTTTATATTCTAGATCGGTATAGTGTTGCTTTTTCACTGTTCTGTTTCACTGTACTTGGGATATCTCAGTGTGCTAAAACACATGATAGTTCTAGTAACAATCAAGAGGGTAGGTACAGGTATTTGAAGTTGAATTGTGATGCTCAAATTTGATTAAATTAATACTGAGGTCTCTTTTCAGGTCTCGTTCTCGATCCCTATAAATTTAGCCAATTGAGTATGGAAGATAGAAGGCAATTAGTACATGAAATTTCCCAATGCCCTGAAGATGCGCCGAAGATCTTGAGCTCGCTGACCAGAAAAGAACTACTAGAGATTATATGTGCTGAGATGGGCGAAGAGAGAAAATACTCTGGCTACACAAAATTCAAAATGATAGATCACCTTCTAAAGCTGGTTTCCTGTAAGTCTAACACAGATACTGGCCCTACCTTCAAAAGGCAGCGGACGCAAGAATATCAATGTCAACCTTCGGTTCAGAATGATGAAGTTAATCGGGAGATGGGAAGCAAAACCCAGGTCCTACTCTGTCATAATCTGGTATGTAGAGCTTCTCTTGAAAGAGATGATGTTTTCTGCAAACGATGTTCTTGCTGCATTTGTCATCAGTACGATGATAATAAAGACCCTAGCTTGTGGTTAACCTGTGATTCTGATTCTCAAGATGAAACTAAACCATGTGGATTGTCATGCCATCTAAAATGTGCACTTGAGCATGAACAATCAGGCATATTGAAGAATTGCATCAATCCAAAATTGGATGGAGATTTCTATTGTGTTTCTTGTGGAAAAATTAATGGGATAATGAGGTATTTAACTCTTCCTTTAACCCGTTACATATGTGTATTTAGCAGAAAGGCAGATCCAGGAATGTGGATTGTAAATGGTAGTTCATTTTTCTTTACCATGTTTTGCTCCAACAGTGATTTTCTTGCTACCACTGATTCCTCATCTTCATGCTCTTTTCCTTTTGGAAATGTGTGCCTGTCTGTATTAGGAAGTAATGGACCTTATATAACATCCTCGTTAACACAGAAGATATATAAAAAAACTGTGGAATGGTCTGTAGTTTCTGCTAATGGCTATATTTTTGCCCAAAAAAAGTCTGATAGGGAACGTTCGCGTGTGTTCACATCAGCAGAGGAAAATGTCAATTTTAATTTATTTATTTTGCTTTCAATGCGTATCTTTTTAGCAATCCAGACAAATTTAATGGCAATTTTGTTTTTGAATTCGATGGTTTATCTCACACACAAAAGAAAAACTAACCTGATATGAATTGTTTTAGAACCTTGAGAAAACAATTGATGACAGCAAAGGAGGCGAGAAGAGTTGATGTGCTGTGTTTAAGAATCTCTCTGAGCCATAAAATTCTAGAGAAAACTGAGAAATACAAAGGACTGCTGAAAGTTGTTGAATTGGCTGCTGAGATGCTGAAGAATGAAATAGGGCCTCTTGCACAGGCATCAGAGAAAATGGATCGCAGGATAGTGAACAGGCTTTCTTGCGGTACTGCTGTTCAGAATCTTTGTGGCTCTGCAGTGGGCACTTTTGATTCCATGTTTCAGAATCAATTCTCTAGTCATACGAAAATGGAAGAGACTCCGATGTGTGAGTATTCTTAGGCAATTTATTTGAATATCTGCAAGTCAATAGCTCTACTACTGTTTACTTCTGGAAAAACAGACCTGGAAGGAAACAAGTTACGATAGTTAAATGTTTGACAAGGAAGTCTCGCATTTATCATTGCAATAGTGTCTTCTTTGTTCAAGTTTAAACTTCGACTTTCATATTGTGGGATATTTATAGAGTTCTATGAAATATTACCGAAGCTTTTGCAAGAAGTTCCAGCCACACAATTAAAGATGGATTTCTATTTTCATGAGAATCTGGAAGCATGCAAGCCTAACTGATATGTTATCGTTGTCTTCTTCATCTTTCTATTCTGCTTACATTACTTATTCTGCATAGGACTATATCTGTGCACTACTGATTTCACCTTTTGCTTTTATTGAACACTCTTGACAGCTTGCCGGATACATCTTGAGGAGCAATCTCCATCTAAAGTAACGATTGTCTTCGAATATGATGATTGTGTGCTGAAAGAACTTATGGGCTTCAAATTGTGGTACCGGAAGTCCACAACAAACAAATATCCTGATGAGGCAACTTTTATTGCACTAAGCCCTGTGAAGAAATTTAAGCTGGATGGTCTTGATCCTTTGACACAGTACTTCTGCAAGGTTTCTTTCTTCAACAAGGCAGCGACTTTGGGGGTTCAGGAGGTGAATTGGGTAACACCTCCTGTACAGACAAGCTACAAGTCAGGTTCAGATAATGCCACTATAGATACTACACTGATGCATGCTGAGTCAATGAGTTCTACTGACCACAAACTAACAACTTATGATCCAAAACCATGCTCCCTGAATGACATTGAAAGCCAAGCTAATGCATCTCCTGTATCCCCTCTTCCCAAGATGCACATTCCTTTAGCTAGTCCACTTTCAAGTGCACCTGCCACACCTTGTCAAACTAATGGATCAAAGGAAGTGCAATTGCGTGGCATTGGACAAGTGAAGGTAAGTGATTATGAGTACTCTGTAGGGATCATCAAGAAGTTGGAACACGAAGGGCTTATAGAAACAGATTTCAGAGTGAAGTTCTTGACTTGGTTTAGCTTGAAAGCCACGACACAAGAAAGAAAGGTTGTTCGAGTCTTTATAGACACCTTTGTCGATGACCATTCAAGTTTGGCAGAACAACTCATGGACACATTCATGGATGAGATATGCATGGAGCAGAAAGTCGACCTACATGCAATCTACAGTAAATTCTGGCATTAAACAAACATCTACTTTCTGAAATTAGCTAGGGGATAAACTTTGCACAGTTGATGTGATGCTACTAACCAATCTTTGACAACTTATGCTCTCTGAAAATTATTCTTGTGAATCATAGCTGTTATCTCTAGAGATAAAAGAGAGGTGTCTGTTTTGTGCATGAAACTCAATCTTGAAGTAAACCTGTTATTTGAACAGGATTTGATGTTGTTGGAGATAACATTTCCAGAAAGATGGGAAACCTTTTTCATGAACCAAATGTTTTTGGATACAAGTAATTAGGGGAGAAATGTAATCAGTTTATCAAAAGAAAAAAAGAAAAGAACTAGGGAAGAAATATTTAGATTTTATTTTTGATCCAAATATGACCATGATGAAGGAGACAGAAAAAATCTGTCTGTTGCTGAAGTTATTTTTTTCATGAATATGTTTCTATTGTAAAAATAGATATTTTCTGGATGTTTGGTTACTGAAAATGCTCTCACAAGCCCTTTTCCTTAAAACTATATTTAACTTGGACCATTATTACTTGCTCCAAACTAATATTTAGACATTATTATTAATCTCTAGAACTAAAAGATTCTTCAAAACACTACCAGATTTGCTAGCATTGTTACTTACTAGTTAATATATATACTTTTTCAAAAAATATTTCACCTCACCAAACACCATTTTTCGAAAAATGTTCTCTATAAAAAGTAACTTCCACGTACCAAAGACAAACATAACCTTCTTCCAATATCAATGTAATTTCTTTAGTAAATGAAACAGGAACCAATATCTGTACTCTGAGTTCACAGTTCCAAAAGAAATCAAACCTGAGTGCATAAAATCTGTTTCACTCCAAGGATATCAAGAGCTAGTCAATATTGACATGGATTGAAACTTATTAGGCGTCGATGATAGCTTAAAATGAGCAGGAAACTGTAAAGATTTGGTTTGGACTATAGCTCAACTTACTATTTGCGGAAACTAAAGGAGTAAATGACATTAAAATAACTAAAAAGTTCAAGCATCAAAAGCTTTGTGTGTTAGATTCATTATTCACAGTCTTCACCAGCTGCTTCATTGAAAGCGGCAGCCAGATATTCAGCGAGGCATTTCTGGGGAGTAGATTTTGTTGGAGTCTCTCCAAGTTTAGCTCTTTTTGCGCTGATGGAGTTGGGAAGCCGGGATTTCAGACAGTCCTGTGTATCGCCACGTGGCTTCCATATAACCGGCTTCAATGCTTTCCATGGGTCTTCCATCATTGACTCATTATAGTAGAATTTGAATCTACCCTTGCCTCCTCTTGAACCTTGGTAAGCCTTGCTTCTGAATCCTGAACCTTGGTAGGGGCTACCTTGCCCATATTGGCTACCAGCTCCACTAACTTGAGGAGAACCATGGCCGGAAATACCACCAATTTGCGGTGAATTAGGCAAAGAGTAGTTGTTAGGTGTGCCAAGAGAGCTACCCAACGTGGAGTCCCCCTGTGGCATGCAAAAGGGATTAGTATTCCTACGGATTCCAAGAGGAATGGCATTGACTCCTCGTGGCCAATATGTTCTTTGAGCCGAGTTATAGTTGCCTTGAGCATGATAAGCAAAAGAGCCAGCATTCATAGGTCCTGAAAAAAAAAAGATTAGACAAGGGTAAATATATGAAAAGAATATTATTGAATTGTTGTTGTGTCTACATTATTACATTGAGATACTATTTATAGACACTAGAATACATTGCTAACCGATGCTATTTATGCCACAAGCACACAGAAAGTGTCAACCACTTGCTTCTGCACTGCCCAGCTGCCTCACATCTATGGAATATGTTTTGTTGTTTTTTTGGCCTTTCTTGGGTCATGCCTTTCACTGTTAGGTATGCTCTTGAAAGTTGGAATTCACGGGATGTTAACAAACCACCAAGAGTACGTCGATGATGATCCTTGGTGTTATCTTCTGGTGTTTATGGACAGAGAGGAAGAAAAGATGTTTTGACGGAATTTCAATTTCTAGAGATCTCTGGCGAGGCAAATGTCTAGTTAGCCTTTTTAGTTGGTCCAAACTGACCCCTGTAAATAATGTAGAACTCTTCTCGGATTTTGTTAGCTGTATAGCTTAGGAAGAGGCTACAGATCTTTTTTTTGTGAGCTTAAACGATCTATCCTTGTAAAGCTTGCATCTTCTTGATGCCTTGAAATGAATCTACTTCACCAAAAAAAAGAAAAAATATATTGACATATAAGAATGTCGCTTTATATTATTTTGAATTTGATAGAGCATCTTCATAGCCATCATATTTTTAAATTATTAGTTTAACATATCTCCAGGAACTCCAGTGTAACAATTCATACAAACTTTCTTCTTTTATCCTTGGAGATCAACCTTGGTTTGCTTTGGTGTAGAGGGAATAACAGATAGGAGAATAAGTAGTGAGACATATAGATAAATTAAATAGCTGTACAGTCCATACACTCAGGTTTGCCTACAGTTACTTTGCAGCATAGAATCTAAATTGGCATCTCAGCCATCATCAGAGACAGGTATTTTTATCAAGACACTCCACTACTTGCCCAACATACTGTAGCAGCTTATGGATAATTTATCGTCTTATTACCACATGGGTTGTATGCAAAAAAAGAAAAGATTGATTTTCATAGTCAATACATTTGTTTATTTTTTGGCAAATCAGTCTTTTTCTTCCAAAAATGATACTCGGACTTTTGACAAATCTCCCTTTAGAAAACCAGAATTGGTTTTCCTTCCTTGATACCTAACATAATGCATGAAAGGATCTCTATGACTCTCATTATTTCAACTATACAAAGAACCAAATTTCAGATGAGACTCAACAATAACAAACCCAGTCTACTCCCACAGGTGGGGTCTGGGAGGGTAGAGTGTACGTAGACCTTACCCTTGCCTAGTCATATCCTACCTAATCACCGCACCCAATACTTCTTAGGCCTATCTCTAACCCTTCTCAAGCCCACAAAGAACAATATCTCACACCTCCTAACTGGGGCATCTGCACCTCTCCTTTACACCCGCCTCAACCATCTCAGCCTCACTTCCCACATCTTATAAAGACCCGACCTTGAGTCTTTGGGATCTTGAAAAGGCATTGCACTTTACACTTACAAACTGGTAAAAACTTAACTCAAAGATGTGGATTTTCTCCATGGCTTTAGAATAACAAGAAAACCAACTACACATCAACTCCAAACTAGTTGGCATCGGTATATGAATCCTTAACATACATTTCGCTCCATCAGGCCAGTTTCATTCCAATACTTTCTCTCAATGGCTCTACATTAACATAAATCTCTTTTAAGTTCAGCAAGATAAACTGCCCCTTAAGCACCCAGTACTTACACAAGAAATACAGGAATCCACAAAGTAATGCATATAACACCAAACATTATGAATAACTTCAGCAGAAGTGCAGCCATATAAAGGGATAAAAGAAACATAAACTTCAAGAAAGAACATGTAATTACTTGGAGGTGTGTTACATGGTTGTGAAACCTGAGGACTGAGATTGTTCATTTTGTTGTTGGCAGAAAAAGCTGCCATGGGGTCAGTGTAGTAGTCAAATCTAGGCCTTGGCTCATCCTTCCTGGAGGAAGCTGAAGGAGTTTCTATCAATGGATTGGTAAGGCCATGATCAAGGGGTCCTCCAATAGAATTTTGTTCTTCATTGTTATCTCCAGCCTCTGCAGCTTGCTCTCGGATTGCTTTCAGCCTCTCCTTTCTCTTTTCTGATTCCTCCATTCTTTACATCTGAGTTCTTAACAAGAATCCAATCCAACCTATCACTAAACAAAAATTCCCAAAAACTTAAACTTTTAGCCAAATAGGGACTAGTGGGTGTGTGAATATGGCAATGCAGATCTATATGTATACACAGATAAAAAGATTCAATATGAACTATACCTAACCAAAAACACAAAAGTTCCCAAAAAAGATCCAATTTTTAGCCAAACAGCGCTAGTGGATATGTGAATATGAACATGTATATGTATACACAGATAAAAAAAAATTAAATCAACCTGAACTATTCCTTTAACCAAAACTACAAAATGATAATCCCAAAAGCTCCAACCTTTAGCCAAATAGGGCTAGTGGGTGTGTAAATATGATCATTCTATATGTATACACAGATAAAAAGATTCACTATGACTATTCTTTAACCAAAAAAACAAAAAATCCCAAAAGAAAAAAAATCAAACTTTTAGCCAAATAGGGATTGTGGGTGTGTATTATGCACATGAATATGAATCCCAGATGAAAAAAAAATTCAATTTTTAACCAAATAAGGCAAGTGGGTGTGTGAATATGCACATCTATATGAATACCCAGATGAAAAAAAGTTCAATTTTTAACCAAAGTATATTTGGGGGTTTTAGGGTTGGAGGGTGTGCTTGAATGTTGCTGGAAATTTGAAGGTTAAAGTGGAAGATGAGGAGAAAATATTTCAAGTTCCTAGAATCCAATGGGTTTTATATTTGCTCATTCAATTTCCACTTTTACCCTTTAAGATGATGAGAATAACATTTCTGTTCCCTTGTTCCTTCCAGGTGGCTCAAAAGTTTGAGGGGTATTTATGGAATTATATTCAGAGAATAGATACCATGTTCAGTTTTTTCCTTCTATAAAAATAAAAACATTGGGTTTCTACTCATTCTCTTCTTTGGTAATAGCGAAAATACCAAAATGGCGAACAACGAAAGCATCAGAAGTATGGTTTTTTTCTCCTTTTTTATCTCTTGAATTTTCTTGTATTTTTTGTCTTAATTTTCTAGGATCAATTGAATTCAGTGTTTGATAAGCAAATCAAGAAGAAAAAGCCTCAGATTCTTGTTTGCATTTTTTCTTTTTTGAGTTTTTATGATGAATTTTGGTTTCTGATGAAAATTTTGTCAAGAAAGAGCAAGGAGGAAAAAAGATGAAATCTTTGTTAGAGGGGAAAGAAAAATCCTAAGTTGTTAAGTTCTAAAAGAAGTTAATTTTGGCTAATTCGTTTTAGTTTAATGGGTAGTTGAGGTATATGGTGATTTGGTGTTTGGTTTGCTTGTTTATCTGTGATAAATGTAGCAGTTTTTATCTGTGTTTGTAGTTTATAAAGATTTAATGTATAGCTTTTAGTCTATTTGGGGATTTTAGGTATGTAGCTCTACAATATTGGATATTTGAGTTGCTTTCCTCTGGTAATAGGCATTTTGTTCGCCTCTTTCTGTTAAGCTCAACAGATTGTACCATGTAAGCTAATTTACATGAACATATAAATTTCAGCATCTGTATAGGAATTTATTGCCCTCAAAGCACCTCAAGTTTCTTTTCCGCCATATAGTCCAAAAGGTACAACTAATAGTCCTCCATATCCTTTTCATCTTTGAATTTCCTTTGAAATACATCCAGCTGTTGATGAGATCCTAAATGGTTGCTGGAATATGACTGATATTTTGAAAAAGAGATTACAAAGATGACCAACAACCTCAAAAATGAAGGAATAAGTACCTGCTTATCCTCAAATGAATAAGTACCTGCTACTCCACAAAGGAGACATCTGCTATATCACTGCAAACGTTTTCTGTAGTTTTTTGTTTCAACATCGATTATGAGCAATATCCAACTGAAATGTACTATCTTATTAAGGTATATTGGCTCCCCAAATTATCTTTAGAGGCCACGAAGGAAAACTTCCTGCCACTTCCAAAAACTTCATAGTAGTACATAAAAAAGCCATTTCTTTGTCCAGTCCATGGCAAAGAACCCTCATTTTCAGCATCATACCAGACTTAATTCTTACATTTAGTATTACAATGTTCATGATCGTTTAAGTTTGCATTCTACCTTTGTTGGAGCTAGCTAGAGCTTTCTCTTGTTGCAATGAGAAGTGCTTATGTAAGGGTAGGATGTACGGGACCTCACCCCTATCTTTGTGGGGTAGATAGGCAAATTACTTATGCAGTCTTTGTTTAATTAATTTGTTTGAATAAGATATCTGATGAGAAGGGATGTTTCTTTGCCCTTTATTTAGGAGGTGTGTTCAAGAGATTTGAGACATATATCCTTGCTTGTCTAAATTGCTGAAACTGAAGGGTGGTTTGGGGTGTATTAGAATTGTACCTGAATAGGATTTATCAGTAATGTTGGGATCAGTTATACAAGAACTATTTCTGATCTACTGTTTGGTTGTGTATTGAAGGGTAGTTCTGTCTTTAACCATGTATTAAGCCCTGGTATTGCTCATACCATGGGTTTCTATTTATTAGTTATACACCCTATAATAATGTATTACCTATGTCGGAAACACTACCAAACAAGGTATTTTGTATTATCAACGCTAATACATGTATTATTTTCTGTAATATGTCCTACCAAACGATCCCTGAGTGATGTAAAAGATTGGTGTATTCATACATATGTATCCCATTAAAGTTAGTAATTTTGTGCTAAAGGCTCAACAGAGGTTGTTTAGCATAATTCTTTTTTATTACTTGTCTACTTCATATAATTTTGGATAGGTGCAATTATTTGTTTTTGGACAGGGATGTTAGGGTTTTAAAAGAGAGGAAAATAAAATAAGGACAGTTTCCATTCCAAAATAATTACATAGTATATATATATATATATATGTGCATGCCTTCTGTATTATAGTTATTATTATAAAATTGTTGAAAATCAGTTCTCTTATCTTTATTTGTCATTTTTCTGCTTTAAAGTTGTTTTTATTGCTTATTGCTTGTTTTATTAATGGCGATGGTCACTTACTATTAACATATTACAGGTATGACAAGTTGTTATGTTTTTAAAAGCCGATTGCAAGAGTATGCCCAGAAAGTTGGACTTCCTACCCCTGTTTATGAGACTATCAAGGAAGGCCCTTCTCATGAGCCTACATTTACGTCTACAGTGATTGTGGACAATGATAGATATGATTCTCTGCCTGGATTTTACAATCGCAAGGCAGCGGAGCAATCAGCTGCTGAAGTTGCACTCATGAGTCTTGGAAATTCTGGGTCAGTGGAAAACCTTTCTCAGCCAGTGGTAATTTGCTTTATCCTTCATCACTTAAGAGAAAACAAATGTGCTTTTGCGCTCTTATGCACTATGATCGTGACTGTTCCTGTGTTCTGACCAGAAGCCACAGTGTCAGATCTAGCTTGTGCAAATACATATGTTACTTTTCAAGAAAACTTTGGCCGTTGTTATCTCTTATGCTACTGTTTCCTCAAAAATTTGCATCTTCGGTAACTTCTCCCATTTGAATTTCGATCTGCGGTGGCGGAGGGCTTCACTATGATGGCCAGCATCTTCATGCCAATAACTTACATAGACCAGTTCTTAATGATCTTAGTGTTTGGTGAATGTATAAACTTCCATTTTGTGGTGGAATGCCTTATTCGTCATTTTAGTCATCCGAGCTCCTTTCCCCCCCTCCCCGCAAGATATGGCAGTTGAGTCTTTGAAGTCCTCTAAATACCTGCAGCAGAAGCTGGTGAGGAATATCGCACAGAGCATAAATATGGGAAATGTTTTTAATTTGCATTCATGTTCCTGGATTTGAAACTAGACTGTTATTGTCACGGTTTGGGCAGCCATTAGAAATAGCTCATGTGTGACTTCCCTGGTTGTGTTAATTAGGTGGACAATGCAATGGAGATATGCTTTAGCATAACTACTCTAGCTACCTTTAGGGGCTTATATGTTAGTTTGAAGTGTGTTAGATTGCTTCCTTCGCTACGTACGTAGTATCATGTGGATCCAGCTCTATGGCCTCCAGTGGACCCACATGTATAGGTGGGGGTGCACGTGCACCCATTAACTTCGGAAAATATCATGTGTATATATGTATATATATCTTGAGAAACTTGTAGAAACTGCGATATAAATTAAGTGCACCCATAGAAAACGTAGAAGCGCACCTCGGGCCGCTGGTTTAAGCCAAAGTACCCAACCGTTAAAACGGCCCAACTTGACCACTGAGCTATACTCAACTGTTTTAAGAAAGTTAAAGACAAACTTATTTAATAACAAAGTAAAGTTCAAGTATTAGCTTAGAGCTCATGTTTGATCTATATATTTGTATTTAATATTTCTACATTGTGCAAGCCATTAGTGACCAATTGAATACGACATTATCCGTTAATCGTCACTGAAAGTTTTGCTAATGCCTAAATTAAGATAATAATTGGTGCATATGCGGTCTTCAAATCCTGGGTTTGCATTTGATGACCTCTACAAGTTTGTATAATAGAGTAAACGTTTGTCTATGAAGAGACTTTAATTTTTTTATTTTTTTTATTTTTAATTAGTTTAGTACTTTCGCTTGGTTGTTGTACTGTCAACTTTCAAATTTTCATGTTGTGAAAGTAATAAACCCTTCTATTTTGCATGGTTTGGTGTATTTTTCAGCATGAAACAGGCTTGTGCAAAAATTTGTTGCAAGAGTATGCTCAGAAGATGAATTTTGCAATCCCACAATATGAATGCGAGAGGTATGACTCCGAAAGCAAAATTATATCATTTACATGTACTGTTGACGTAGGGGGAATGAAATATATTGGAGCAGCAGCTAGAACGAAGAAGGAAGCAGAGATCAAAGCTGCTCGAACTGCATTGTTGGCTGTTCAGTCTAGCGGTTTTGCGCCTAATTATTCTTCATACACTGTCGTTCCAATGAAGAAGGTCACAGATTTGGCAATCAGCAATCAGGAGAGTGCAGCAGCTCTGAAACCAAAGAAACACAGATTCAAGAAAAAGCAGACAAGGAATTTTTCAGATGTCAGTTATCATGTACGCACAAAGATTTTTGGTGACTCGGAAGTTCAGATGGTAAATCAAGCTAAACCAGAGATGCATGAAAATGCTGCTGTGATGACTCCAGGTACAGGATCTGGACCTGCACCTTTTGCAGGCACTATGGGTGATCTAGTTCCATCCAACAATTTGAGTTCTGATTATGGAACTTCAAATATTGGAATCAACTCTCAGTGTGGTGGAGGAGTAACGACTGAGGGAAATGCCGTTATTGGAGTTGATTATGGAACTTCAAAAATTGGAATCAACTCTCAGTGTGGTGGAGGAGTAACGACTGAGGGAAATGCCGTTATTGGAGTTGAGCAGGTAACTTTAGAGGTGGCACCAGTTGCTTGGAACGACAATCTTCATGTACAGGACCTGCACCTTTTGCATGAAAATGCTGCTGTGATGACTCAAGGTACAGGATCCGGACCTGCACCTTTTGCAGGCACTATGGGTGATCTAGTTCCATCCAACAATTGTGGTTCTGATTATGGAACTTCAAACCTTGGAATCAACTCTCAGTGTGGTGAAGGAGCTACAACCGAGGGAAATGCCGGTATTGGAGTTGAGCAGGTAACTTCAGAGGTGGCACCAGTTGCTTGTAACGACAACCTTCATGTGCTATAGATGCAGATCAAGGACGACATACAAACATGGAGGCAGAAATATCTTAAAACATGTTCGTTTTGCAGGATTAGCTATATCAGATGGTGGGAAGAAGGACAGTTTTAGATTATAGAGAATACATAGGCCGCTCAAAAAAAAATTCGCGAGTTGGTTAAGCTTTTCATTGGAACATCCAGATTGAAAGAGTTGTTGACGGCGTGCTTTCGCCAGAGTGTTATAACTTTTATAGTTACTAGTACATGCCAAATGTGTGGTGTAGTTGCACAGTCTCAGGTGCATGAATCAGTCTTGACATTACTTGGTTTACTTCATTTGCTTGAACATTTGATGAGGTAACCTGTTCTATGACAATATTTAAGTATTTATGCTGTTATTTACAATTGGAAGAAGTAACATATTAGCAGTTACCAGTCTTTTACTTCATTTTGTTCATCTGTTTCATCTTTTTTATGTTTAATTTATTTGAATCCCACATTCCAGGTAACCTCATGATCCTTTGGACAAAACCCTTGTGTACTCATAAGTTACCAATCGAGGATTTAAACTCTATGAGTTCAACTTTTAAGGTTTTTAACATTGAACATAGTATGTTATTACAGCGGAAGTACGCAATCTACATCCGCCACTGTCATTTACTATTATTTTCTTCGGTTTTATGTTTTAACCAATCGTTTTGTCTACTTTGGTTATCGTATTATCTATTGATTTGAGGATTTGTTGGACGCATCCTCTTTTCCTTTTCAAGGTAAGGGATAAGGTTATGTACTTATTACCTTTTCTAAATCTCGTTTGTGAAATTTTACCGGACATGGGCCTGTTGTTATTGTTATAACAAGATCAACTGTAGCATTTAATCATATAAATCTAACATATCATATAAATCTAATATAATGAACGTCGATATTTCAATGAAACTATTGTGTACTCAAGTGAATTTATCATATTTTCGAAGATTTATATTTATTTAACATTTTCAAGTTTAACTTATCACATGAATAAGTAAAAATATATATTTGATCTCTTTTTTAATCATCGAGAAAAATCGAAAGAACCGACTAAAGCCAAAGTCGAAAAACCAGACTTGGTTTAATTTGATTTTTAGATTTAATAAATCGATATAATTGATTTAATTATTTTTTTTTTGAAAAATCAAATCATAATGACATTTGTACATCCCAATGGTATGTATGCAATCTTACTCTTGTTTTCTAAATATAAAGAGATGTTATTTTTTAGATCCTCGGCTTATACATGTTCAAATTGCAAGTAAATCTCAACGCTCTTAAAGGCATAATAATAACCGTTTCGTTTAATTTGACCTCAATTGTATCTAAGCTCTCCAAATTTTAGGCGTGTCCAATTAGACACTGAAATTTATATAAAATTAAACAAATAGATACATTTATTTTACGTGGAGTCATACACAACAAATTTGTATCATATGTGACATCGTATATGTAATATGTCATGTAAGAAATGTGTATCTACTTCAATTTATACAATTATTTCTGATATGTTTCTTATTATGTTATATGCTATTAAACATTCCATATATGAGTTTATATATGAGAACAGACATAAAGATGATACTTGATATTGTCTCGAATTTTCAAAAAAGACACCTAAACTATGCAAGCGTTCTATTAGCCTCTAAACAATTCTGAACTGATATTATTACATCATTTTTGTTCACCTCGCAGGGAGAGTGTATGTACTCTCTTAAAGAGCTTAAACAAATTTAAAAAAATGAATATAATTTTACTTTTACAAGTATTTTGCTATAAAATATATATATATATATTTTTTCTTTCTTTCTTCCTTCTTTATCAAAAACTTAACATCATCTTCATTGTAACTTTTCACTTTTAATGTTACTTTTTACTTTAACTCTACCTAACTTTTTTACTACTCTTAGTTTAACACTCTTCAATTTTAAAATTATATTTTAATATTGTATTACATTTGAAACGTGTTACACAATGATTGATGTGTGATAAGACTTGTCATTTAAAATTTGGAATTAATCGAAAAAATATACTAATATATATTTTAAATTGTTTAGAGGGTAATAGGACGCCCGCAAAGTTAAGATGTATGTATAATCCAACTTCTTACATGTAATTCCATGTTATTTTTCAGTGACATGTTAGAAATTAAATATATAACGAAATAAAAAAAAATCAAATATCAAACTTTTGTAAAATTTGAATTTTTTTAAATAGTCATATTCTTCAATCTTCATATATGTTTACGATTTGAGCACTAATTCATGTCAAACAAATGAAACCCAACTAGACTCAATCACGAATTTGAATTAATTTCATAAAATAATAATAAACTTTTTTATGTGAATTTAAATTTAATCGAACTAAAAAATAATAATTTCAGATCCATTTGTATTAATAGTTCTAATAGATCGCAGGCTGCAAGTTTCCTTCGTTCAGTCTTCTGAGTCCTCTGTGTGTGTGTGAGAAAAAAGGAAAAAATGCACGGAAGACCACGCAAAGCTCCAACTCTAGAAGAGCAAGAAGCTTTTAGTGTCAAAGCTTCCAAATTACGGTCTCTACAATCACAATTTCTCCAATTTCATCACGCCAAAATGTAATTTTTTTAAATTTTTTGTGTTCTTGATTTTACAGAAAAGATCAAAAATTTTGATGTTGTTTGCTAATTTGTTTGTGGGGTTGTTTCAGATATACAAAGGAAGCTTTAGATGTAAGTGCAAAGTTGTTAGAGTCGAACCCTGAGTATTATACTGCTTGGAATTATAGAAAACTTGCTGTCCAGCATAATTTGAATCTACCTGAGGTGGAGAACAATGAGGAGACTGTTAAGTCAATTCTTGATGAAGAACTCAGATTGGTAAGTTGTTTTTTTTTTTTGGATAAAAATGATATCTTTCTAAATGGGTCGGATTGAATATTGAGGATTTATGTTTAGTATATTCTTGATGGGAGGTTTTGTGGGAAGAGAAAGAAATGCTCAATTTTCTATTCTTTAAAGGGGCTGTTTGTTCTTTTTCTTTTTTTCTCTGCCCACCCCTTTGCCTTTTCTGATAAATCCTGTGCTCAAGTCCAAAAAGATTCTAAGCTGGTTTTTGACATATTTTCTCTTGTTATGAATGATGTTATATGGTATTGCTTTGAAGTGTGTTGATAACAATCCTTAGACAAAACCTAATGTGGCTCTTTTGTCTGACTGAGTAAGAAGGATTGGGCCCCTTATAGGACGGAATAGCTATAGAAGATTTGTACTTGACTATGAATCTTCTACCAAATGGATCTGCATCGAATGTGTAATGAAACTTCAAGTATATTTTCACTTATTATGCTGTTGTGCTCTGTGTTGTCAAAGGAGCACTCAACTCCTGAAGCAAGGTGCAAAACTTGTTGGTGCTTTAGTGTCGTCATCCAGGCTCTAAGACATACTTTACCTTGCCAATGAGTGTAATCCCGAAGAGCCGACATGCACCCAAGGGTGTGGCAGTGATCAATGAACTAGTTGAGAGTCATGAGGATCAATTCCCACGGGAGACCAAAAATACTAGGTAATTTTTCCCATATGTGCTGGTGGGAGGTGGCAGGTATCCCGTGGAATTTAAATGAGGTGAGCAAAAACTGGCCTGGACACCACAGTCATAAAAAAAATCCTGAATAGGCAACGCTGAACAATTGATATTTCACTTTATCCTGATCTTTTCTTGATTTTTGTTGTCCATAAATTTGTTATTCACAATCATACTTATAATTAGTAGTCTTGAACTACACATATATATTTGCATTTTTTTCTCCATTTGTGTCTTTCTCCATTAAAGGCCTGGCTTGAAACCCCAACAGACCTTTAGATTTTTTGTTTGTTGTTCGCCTTTGATACCTCTGTTCTTAGTTGGTTTAACTAAGAACAAAGCTTGTTATCATCACCAATTAATTTTCTGTGTGGTTTTATCTGTGATTCAGCTAAAATTTTGCATGTTGATTAGGTAGAGAATGCGTTGAGGAGGAATTTCAAGTCTTACGGAGCATGGCATCACCGTAAATGGGTGCTGAGCAAAGGTCATTCTTCCACAGACAAGGAATTGTTGCTTCTGGGTAAGTTCCAGAAGGCAGACTCCCGCAATTTTCATGCATGGAATTATAGAAGGTGATGACCTGGATTAAGCTGAACGCAAATTACTGGACTGTTGCATTCTGCTAACACTTCTTTTTGGCAACTCTTTCAGGTTCGTCACAACATTGAAGAACATACCAAATGAGAAGGAGCTAGAATACACTACCGACATGATATATGATAATTTCAGCAACTATTCTGCTTGGCACAACCGCAGGTATGGTGATATCTATTACTCATTCTTTTTGGTTCACTCTTGTTAAGATCTATTTCCTGAGTAGAAAAAGTTCTCTAGGTTCACATTGTTGTAAATATGCTGCTCTAGAGCAAAAACTAAAGTCACTAACATACTAAGAAGGCAGGAAGACAGTCGTACCCCTCGAAGAAAAAGTTATGTTACTTTTAACAAATGGAATATTAAAAATGTAGCTTTAGACAGGTCATTATCACATATGCATGCCCTTATCATGTGTTTCAAAAGTGTGTACAAGACTTCCTCTTTTGGCGTATTTGATGGACAGATTATACAACACTATGTGTCATAGCATGGCTCTAGTAAGCACATTAATATGAAAATTCTATTGGTTTAAGAGCCCTTACTTTCAATAACTGCGTTATTTTTTTATTGGCTCCCAGATGCACTCATCGTTTTAAAAATTAAAGTTATTAAGTATCACATACCATTTTAACTCAGGAAGAAGTCTCATTCTGATCTATATTCTACTGTGTTGTGTCTCTTATCTCTTCCAAAGGTTCATCTCCCCATAATGACTCGTATACAGTGTTCTTCTTTCTCATTTGCTGAAGGAAAAAGCAAAAGGATATTCTCCCAAGGACAATGTATTTACAGAAGAGTACGAGTTTGTGCGTCATGCTCTTTTCACAGATCCAGATGATCAAAGTGGTTGGTTTTATCATCTGTGGCTTCTTGATCAGACAGTTAAACTAGAGACATTGTTGGTTTCTTCATGGCCACCACATGGCTGTAATCTTTCTTTATCCACGGATGGATCGTTTGGAGATTGCTCTTTATCACCCTTTACGAGTCTTCAGACTAATACTAGAACACTTCCACTCATTCTCTATTTCAGCGAAGCTGTTGAGAATATATGCTCATCTACAGTAGTAATCGAATGTGAAAATATTGCGAGTAATGAGCTCGTCTGGAGATCACTCTCAGGAGATGGAGCTGGGTCTGCTCAAGCTTGGTTGACATATCTTAATTTCCCAGAGGAACATGCACATTCTGAAAAGGCTTACCAAGTAAAGGTCAGCCTTGCTCATTCTCGAGGCATTTTCTCTTCAACTGGT